AATTATGATTATTCACAAAAATATTTTCAAAGACACTGATTTATAGTGATTAAAATATATTACGAAATTCTAAGCTTTATTTTAAGTATAACTATAAATATCTACGCATAAAAAACTGTATATATTATTAAGTATGTGTATATTTGTTTTTACCTCAGCGCCAAAAAAAAAAATTGTCAGCATAATTTATTATACAACCATTATTAGAATAAGCAAATAAGCAATATTGCTCTATGAAATCACAATTATCTTTTGCAATGCTGTAATATATGTAATATATTCTTTATAGGTATTTAAGCGTTGTGTAAGTTAGTAGTATCATTAATTATAAATTATAATATAGTATTTCATAGTTTTTATAATCAATTGTAGTGTATTATAGGATATAATAATATGATTACTGATGGGTAGGATCTGGATATAAATGCTCTGAAAACTATCAAAAAATGCTCAATAAAATAAACTTAAATGTCATAAGAATGTTTTTCAACGCAATAATAATGCATTTAAAAAATTACCAAAATGTGTTGTATAGACACGCAACTACGCAACCAATAGGGAAACTATGGTTTAACTTTTGTCATTTTTAACACTTTATATCTCAACTCGTTTTTTTTATGTTGTTTTAGGTATCCAATATCCATCTGTTTTTACCATCATTATTACTTGAAATTGCTGATGTTTGTAATTAAATGTAAAATAAATCGTTAATTTTTAAAGTTAAATACAAATAACTTTTAAATTATTTTAATGTTTTCTAGCCTGCATTCTACAGTGGTGGGTGTCAGTGAGATGTCACTAAACAAATTAATTTTCAAAAACAAGGATAGTCCACGTGGCGAAACAGATATTTGGTCACAGAACTATATTGGTTTCGTTCAGTTGTAGAGGGATGAAAAGGACTGTTTTTCCCCAAGCCATTAGCAAAGTATACTGAATTTTGAAAGTCCATTCACTAGTTTTAGACTTTAGTAAACTAAACTATATCGTTAAATATAGAATGGTGTAAAAACCATTTATATGTATTTAAATTGTTTTTTGTTTGGTTTTAATTATTGATTAATGTTATAGAAACTAACGCTATTATACTTGTGCAAAATAAGTGCACTTTTAATTTAAAAAAATGTTTTAAATTTCTATATTATACAGATTAATATTAGTCAAAAAATGTTTACAATATTAATTTGGTTAGAAACTCGAGGACTTTTGTGCTTTACCTTCATTGAGGGATTCTTCAAAGTTGGCTGGAATCCATAATATGGTGTTTCATTTTTTCTTTTTTAAATCAGTGCATTCTAGACCGATATGATGAGTATTGTTAAGTTAATTAGTCATTGCATATTATGGCTGATGGATCTTTACTCACGAGGTATGCGTGGGTTATTAAGGTTATTAAAAGTGTCCGATTCTTGCTCTTGCTAAAACAATTTCCTGTCATCTTTTGAAGTATAATAGAAGGATAAAGTTATCCTATGTTTCCGTGTATTTTTTTTTTTTTTTAGGCAGTGGATCCACAATTAGAATAATGTTAATCCCAACAGTAAACAACATACCGGTCAACGACATTAAACTGTCCATGAAACAAAAAATGAACATAGCATTGCAAAATTATTGGCATTTAATCCCACTAAAAAATAAACCAAATAGTTGTATTTAAATATTTTATTTTTTATTCATTCAATGTGTTCAGTCCCTATAATAATAAAATTACTTTTCTAGTGCATCTAAATTCTATCTATATACGTATTAACAGTAGTTAAAATGAATGTGTATCATCATAATAATAATATTAGGAAACTATATTACGTTTTCACCATGAACCATGTTTAATGTAATTTGCATGGAACGATTAAAAATAAATATTTTTGTTTTAAAATATTTTTTTTCTGTTTATGCATTAATCCTACTACTATTATAATATTATGTTTACGTTTTAAACCTTATACCGGATACAACCCTTTTCATCTAATGTCATGGTGAACATCTTGACGTGCCATGCTGCTGACTATAATATACGAGTCGAGCTCTCGTATACACGGGCCTTGTCAAACTTGACGTAACAGCTGTTGTTTGTTAACTTATGGTGACGACGACTATGCACTGATTGCGGTTAAGTAACACACACGAACGAACTACTATTTTTCTGAATATTGTAATAAAAACACACACGCACACACACACACACACTCACCCAACCACGAAATAGTTATTACTTATAATATGGTGAGCACATAATAATATAAACGATATTACTAATTTCAAGACTATAGTACGACGTTGTTTGTATGGATAATATATTATAACTCAAAATCGGGCTTTTTGCCAATTATCGGTACATCCAAATCGTATCGTGTACAAGAAATGGCTGCGATCGTAAATTCAATTCGCATGGCAATTGAATTTACATAATACCCAACAGGGAATGATATTTCTGTATGATCCGGTTTAGACGTAATGGATACGTGGAGGACGGTGACATCTACCTATCGTCGGATTGCGGCTTAGAAAGATAAATATTTCATGAAAATGGATCAATTTAATTTTATATTGCTCCGAATGAAAACACAGTTATACAGAATATATTACTTACGGCAATATCATACAAATGTACAATGGCACAAAATTATCGAGTTTGCTAAACATATTCCATAAATTGTATTTATTTCCTGCTACCACGCTACTTATAGGTATATAAAATATTTGTCGATAGTTTATTCTACGTATTCATAAACGATGTGATAAACTATATTCTTATATCTATTAGTTTTCTGTAATGTATATTTTACGTAGTGCATTTTGTGTTCAGTCCCTCTAATGTTAATTTTATTACAGGGAAATAATCGAATTCTTAAACATATCATAATAACTCAGAATAAATAAGTAAATAAAGATTTTAAAATTGTAATATCACTGCAGTTAATCCATTTCTATGGTTATTTTTATAGCTTTAGGCCTTCAGCAACAAACGCCATTAGATATACCATACACTTAGATTATTAATGTAAATTGATGATGTACTTTTTGTATATTAATATTTTATTTTATTGTACGATTATTATACTTATAATATTGTTCGTCTAATCCAGATTATTTGGATTCAAAGAGGGTGGTTGGGATTTGAGTTTTCTTCAATATATATGCTGCAGTGTTTTTTTTTCCGAAACATAAGTGTTTTTTTTCTTGGGGAGGGGGGTATGAATTTATCCAGAAGCCAATCACTCACCCTCCCATTTCCTTAAATTATAGTAACTTATTAACAACATAAATTAAAATATGTCACCAAAATGATGTACAATATTACATGTCAATTAAGTAATTAAAATATGTTTTGGTAAAACAAAATTGAGTACTTAATACTTATACCTACATATTTACAAATTTTTGAGACATTTAAACATTATTATTCATAATAACATACCTAATTCACATTATATCCATCACTAGGTATTTACAATTTCACAACTATAATAAAATTTTTTTTTTATTTTTGAGTCACAATGATAATCTGATGTTATTATCAGTGGTTGGTTCCATGCCAATAATGCCAACCAACCCGCTTGGTCTGTTCCAATAATAAGAATATGTTCTTATTTATAATAAATAAAACATAGGAAAAGACATATAAAATATTTAATTTATAAATACTATTTTTGTGTCGACATAAGTCCTACTTAATCTTCTTTGAACTTGAAAAACATCATTATATGTGGATATCTCATCGAGATTCATCGTGTTTATTTTTCTACCTGTATCGGTGTTATTATTTTCTGAAAATTGGCAATTTCCGACTTGCATGATCGATTTGTTAGTCGGTCTAGACTCTAGATCTAATAGATATTATAATAACTATAGAACCTATAAATGTGAATAATATATAATAGGTATATAAGTATATTTTATAATATTCAATATTTATTTTCTCAAAACATATTTTGTACGCTAAGTACTTCCGTGTGTTTTTTCTGTGTTATAAATATATTCAAGAACATAATAATATATTACTTGAGGATGCAAAATGTTGAAAAAAAAAAATCAAGAAAGAGATCTATCCGACATACCCTCACCCCTCCCGTAAATATGCTATTGTTAATGGAAATGTCCCAATAATGATGTTATCTTTTACGGAATGTTAAATAATGTTATATTTTCTAACTCATACTCTATATATTATTGAATATGGAATCTTTTAAGCTAATTATAGTATAATATAAACTAACTATATATCTTACTAATCTGGCGTGTGGCTTCAGACGTACGAGTCGTCTAACGTCCTCTGAGTTGTCTGGTATACCTAAACGATGTTTCGTCTCAGTCTTATCTCATAGTTGTAGAAAACTTGGTGATTTTTTCTTTAACTGCACAGGAATATCGTATGTATCATGGTTATCATGGTTTAAACCACCGTTACTTTCGAACTTGTACTCAACGGAAATAGTCCGATGGCTATATTTAGGCTATTATATAGAGCTCAGAATCTATGTAATTTGGTTGACGTTACAGATGGCATGCGAACCTTTCAGCTTTGTCTTGTTCACAAGGTACAAATGATATATCATACTTGCTTATTGATGTTGGGTACATATACTCTTGGCAGACCTATTCATCCATCCTGTTTCCTTAAAATAATGAATAATCGTATAATTTGTTGTAGACAGTTTACTCGGGTAGTATTTACGCATATTTTTGAACTGTTCGTTTTTTAATTATTTAAGCCACAGCGAACACACCACCATTCTATCAACCTCTGAAAACCGTCACCAATTTCCTTAACAAGTTAAAATTAGTCCGAAACCCCCTCCTAGCTGCTCTAACATCATAGGCGCAAATAGTGGGGGGGCTGGGGCGCTAAGCCCCCCTAAACTTTGTATAGCCCCCCCAAAATAATTATGTCATATATTATATATACTCTAAATTACGGTATATGCAACAAATTTTGTATTTATTTTTGCTCATACACATCGAAAAATAATGCGAATATTGAAGTTCAAGAATCCAAAAACATGGCACAAGCTATTGGTATAGTTTATACTTAAATATTTCAATTAGTTTTAATAGTTTTACTTTATTTTTAATTAACATGTTCTAGGTGTTCTTGCAACCATTAAAAATGTTAAGTTTGTTGTACACTTATTTATTCTACGTGAAGTATTAAAAATAGTAAATATATTGAGCGTTCAGCTTCAGGCCAAATCAGCTACATTGGGCAAATCTGCTAGTTTAGTAAAAGGCATAATAAGCACTTTAGAAAATAATCGTTCGTCTGACCACTTCAGTGAGCTGTGGGTTGATATCATACAATTTTGCAATGAGAATAATATTTATATAAATACTTCCACTACTAGTAAAAATATATAAAAAAAATACTCAGACTATCTGTATGACATGTTTTATAATTTTTAGAAGAATTAAAGAGAAGTAGAAAAGAGCCTAGATATCTCCAAGATTTTGATGTGACTACAGTAACAGGATCCGATGATGATCTTATTAGAACAAAGGATGTAAAGTCATACTGGAAAATAAATGCTTTTTTTCCCATTCTGGATGTAATAATTATTATTAATATGAAAAAAAGATTTTCAGCTGAAAGTTTTCAGATTGCTACATCTATTGAAAATTTAATGAAAATGGATTTTGAAGGAAGCTCATTTTTAATTGACCATTATAAGGTAATTAATTCAATATATTTTAAATGTAGTATTTATAATAATTGACTATTATTTTATTTAGGATGTTTTAAAAGTAAATACTGAAGATTTAAAGTGTGAAATGACTGTATTTAAAAATATTTTAAATGGAAACACAGAATATGAATATTTTAAGGAACATCTTACACAACAAGTTTTTCCAAATTTATTTAAACTCGTTCAAGTAGCAATCACATTACCGGTCAGTTCATCCACTTGTGAGAGATCATTTTCGGCAATGCGAAGGATCAATACATATTTGAGGTCTACTATGTCTCAAAACCGGTTCAATGAATTAGGTATACTTAATATAGAAAAAGATATTGTTGTAGACGTTGAAGATATTTTAAACGAATTTTCTAAAACAGAAAGAAGAATAAAACTAATGTAATTTATTTTTTAATAATTTGTTGTGATTAAAACATACATATTTAACTATTGTAAATTGTTGATTTTGATTGGTACTAAACAATCTGAACGTAGTAAGGAAAATTTTTTTGTAATATAAGTGTCAATAAAGTGTTCAATCTAAACCTGAGTTTCAGCCCCCCCCAAATCTCAAACACTATTTGCGCCTATGTCTAACATCCATAATAAACAAAATCCCATTCCCCATCACTTCCACTTCCATCACATCAATTAACACACGCGACACGGATCACATATTATCTTCTGATCATCCATAGCATACTTCGTAAATAAATTCTTAATTGTATTAAAAAACTTGTAATAACATGTAATATGTGGACACATTTAAAATATAATAAATGAAAAATAATAATTCTTTAATTTTGTTGTTTAGCGGTTTAGAAGGATAGGTATTCTTTTGTTCGGTGTCTATATTTGTTACCTGGTATACTGCACAATCACAATTAGAATTTCAATGCACAAGGGTTCATCATTTATCTTTGGTTTTTGTTTTAACATTTGAGTCTGGTTTTATTTTAAAGTTGTGTCCATCTGGGTATATGAAAAGTTATAGCCTGAGAAGTGAGATTGATATCGATAGTTACTGCAGCGGTTTTCTTTACACAGTACTTCAACAACAGTGATTTGTTTCGAATTTTTTTTCTTCTGGTTGGTAGCACTCTATTCTAGTTAGCCGTGTGGTCTTAACCACCCTGGTCACGTTTCACTTTATTCTTCAATTTTTTTAGGACTAGAAAAATCTTTGGTCTGTGTGTCTGTGTCTGAACGTCTGCAAAGTAGATGTGACCGTAGTAGTTGTGATAACTACCAGCGCCGTTCTACTAACGTATGGGCTTACTTGATTATAATATTATTGTGTATTTAACTTGCCGATGCCATGTAGGCTGTAAGCATGGGATACATTTTTGACAGTATTATATTAATGGAAAAATACAACACGAATCTACAGCCGACAAGAATGCGAAAACATACTTGTTGACCGTCCAGAAAGCAAATCGTAACTATTGTTAAACATTGTGCTTTTGTTTTACACTATTGTTTATTATTTATTTTAACGCATTGTAATAACTATAATAGACGTGTAGAATTATTAAACTACAAAATATAAGGCAACGCTGGTTAATAATATTCATACATAACGCGTTTAATATATTATTATTTAAAAACTTAAAGTTCAAATAATACTAAATGTGATACAGATAATAAAATTATGATTAAAAATTAACAATTATCATCTGCAGTACTATTTACGCTTTTAAATTACCAGGTATTTTGTTTTTAATTGTAGAATGAAAATATTTAATTCGACAATGAACAGCCACATCAACTGGGATAAAAATTAAATTAGTATTTAAATAAATCTAAAATCGATTTATTTTGTTTGATTATCATCAATGATCATAATATCAGTAAAATATTCCAACAAAAAATACCATTTATTTTAAGTATAACTATACTATAGCAGAATTGTGTGAAAAATACGGTAAAACGACGACGATGTTTTGTCGTATTGTGTTGCTATACACTGATTTAATTATATATAATTTAGTTGTTACTCTCAAATTTGAATTCATTTGTACGTGTAATAACAAAATTATAATTACATAGTTATTATTTCTGCAAACCAAAATTCTAAATCTGACTTAATAATCTTCATGAACTTAATTTCAAAAGTATATAATATTACATAAAACCTTGTTAATTGCATAAATTACTTAAAAAAATGTTTAAATAGGTAATATTGTATTGACTTTTAAATTTAAATTGATTATTATAGATAATAAGTTGTATATTATGTAAATAAAACATTGTTATTTTACTACATAATTTACCTACTTTAAATCCCGATTACAAAGTGATGTATAATTTGTTTCCTTTTTTTTTTTTATTTAGTTTATACTTTAACTGAAAAATGAATAACAATTTAAACTACGTAAAAACCAAAATTATACGATCGAAACTAATTTATCATTGTTATTGATGACGAAACTCGTAGGACCAAATGTACAGATTTATTTTATTACTCACCCAAAAATATATACAAACCGTTCGGAGCCAGACGTCAGTTACGTCAAAGTATAATGGAAATAATTATGCAATTTTTGATAAGTATTTTAAATGTAAATTATCACAAACTTCTTGAAATCATATACAAACTTATATGTACCTCACTTCACAGCGGGTTCAGAAAATGGAATTGTTTTCACACAAATACACAATCAATAGTGACCGCCGACCGATATAAACTTACTATAAGATGTATATTGTATAACTAACAAATACAATAATTACAGTTTGCAATATATGTAATTATTATATTCAAAAATGTACGAAAAAAAAAATAATAGTCATTGCTTAATGTTTTTTTTCCAATACACTAATATTATATTAAAACCTTAAAATTGTGAAATTTGTTCATTGGGATATAAGCAGAATAATATGCGTACTTGATAGTTGATAATGTATTAATGTAGGTATATTCTATTATTTTATATACTTAATTTTTAAGCTTTATTAATTGATATATATTTATTTATATACCTATCGTTCCCGGATGGTTGCCGTCCAGGGTTCATCATAGTAAAAACCTTGTCACACATACACGTGGTTGCTTACCTATAACGTAACAACCGTAACAGCACCTTATACCGTAATAACCTTACCAATCACAGTCAATTATCCACTACAACAGCTAATGGTCATAGTTGCGGGGCTTAAGTCAATAAATATATCTATATATATATATAAAAATGGAGCCAAAAATGTATAACAATTTATCAATTGAGAACGGCTGGTCCGATTTGTCTCAAATTTTTTTTTAAGATGTTCGTAATTGCCAGTTGAAGGTTTTTACGAAAGAAAATTTTTAAAAAGTCAACCGAATAATTAGAGAAACTGCAAAAACTATTTATTAATGTCTGGGATTTGAACTCGATACCGTTGTCTTTATTTGCTCTATGGTGTATTATATTATATTGGTTGCTATTGGTTGATCGGGCATGTTTGTTGATTTGTATTATTATTTTTTGTCAATAAATCTTATATATAAATGAATGATGGTGTGTAGATTAGACCTATGGGAAGAAGATACGCTAATTTAAAAAGGGTTGAATTTGGTTTTTTTATTCATCGGATTTTAGTACGGTTAGGTTAGGTTAGGATTTATAGGTAGGTGGAATTAAGTAAAAACGTCAAACTTGGTATAACTTTGATACTTTTTGAGTTAAATCATACACTTACGTACAAACAGCACGGGATCCGCGATCTACCTCAGGTAGATTGCCTACCTGATAATATACTGCTGCGAAACAGAATTTTTATTCCGGGCAACAGAAAAGTTAAGATAAATCTAGAACATCATACACCGAATATTAAATAACGCATTGAACAATGTTTGAGTCATATAGAGTTGGTATATTTAACGGAAAACGAAGTGCACGGGATCAGCTAGTATATATATATATATTATTTAAATTTCAAGTAGTTACGAAAAAACTGCATTTAATTGGTGAGTATATTATTATAATATAGGATTATCTTACACGAAATTATAAATATTTTATGATCAGTTATCAAAATTCACAATTGACATTTTCAAATACTATTTATTTAAATTTAAAATTGTATCAGTTATTTAACAAACTCAAATTATAGTAGAAATATTATAATCGTTCAGTATAAAATGAATGATATACATCCTCAAATAGAAATAATTGATTGTTATTTCTGTTGATGATTCTTTGAAATTAATACTAAAGGATTGCAGTCTTGTAAAGAATAATTTTATTTTGTATTCGGAATACATATTCAAATAAATGAGAACTAAGGTATTCAGAATAAGTATTCGAATAGTTCTAAAAAATATATTCAGAACACATATTGGAGTACTTTAAAAATTATTCGAATACTATTAGAATACTTATTTTCACAACTAGTTTTTGTCAGTTTTTAAATGGTTGATAATTAACTTTATTAATTAATAATTAAAAATACATCGTAATCATAAGTAATTTATAAATTTTGACCACATATGATACGTCCGATATGGGCCATATGGGATACAACACATCGGTATTTATAAAAATAATCATATCATGGGCTAATATTATATTTCATTCAAAGAATAAAATGAATGTTCATGATGTTCACGATAAAACTATTTTTCTGGATTGGGAAAAAGTATTTTTTTAATGAATAAAAAATACAAATAAAAGTATTTAAAATAGTATTCGAATACAAAAAATTATTCAAATAATTTTACTCGAATATATTTATTCGAATACATAACAAGACTGAAGGATTGACTATTCACTGTTAAATAAATAGTGTCTAGTAGGTACCTATTGTAGCGGAAACAGAACAATATTAAGTAATAAACAATATCTCTATTAGAGATGCTAAATCTCTGTAACTGAATAGCATAACAAAATACAAATTGTTTTTCATAAAACTGTGTAAACTAAAAACAAATTATCTTTTAGTTACAAAATAAGAAATTATAAGACTCAAATAATATATTTCTATAATACAATGAAATATCTAAACCCACAGCAGCGATCCAGGACTATGTATCCTTACTAATTACTTAACGGAATTCATCCAATATTTGCCACGCTCATATATTTGATTCATGGCAACATTTGCTTTTAAAATTTAAAATTGCTTAGGATAATGTTAAAAATTAGTGGATGCTAATCTAAAAGTGATGTCACTGGATCCCCCTTCACTCAATCCATGAAGAATTGTACATTTTTGTATACACCGCATATTTTATTTGGTTAACAGATTTATTCGTTTTTCTTAATAACAAAAAGCTGAATTTTTCAAACACAACACCCATAAATTCTAAAATTATTGTTAGTTGTTACATTGGTAAATCGTAATATTTGATTAATGTAATATAAATACTTAAAGATTCCATTTAAAATCAACAGTGATCATCCGTATATTTAGTTTCAAAAA